AAACTGAGGAAGGAACTTAAAAAAAAGAAAAATTGTATAAAAATTTCACTGCTCAATAAAAACCACTACTCACATTTTGGTTTTTTTCCTCAGTATTTTACTATGTACATGTAAAATTTATACAATTGAGATAATGCTAGTTTAATGTTAGTTACAACCAGTATATTTCACTTAAAACATAATAAATTCTTTCCTCCTCAGTAAAAATTCTTTACGGGTGCAAATTTTAAAGCATTTAAATTTTAAAGAAATTTTAACTCTTCAACAATTTGATTATCTATTTTTTCAATACTGAACACTTAGTTTATTTCCAAAATAAACTAATAGAGTCATAGTCCTCAAAATCTTACTTTTATCTCTATTTGTGTTTATGTGCATAAGATAATTTTCTAGCAGTAGCACTGTCTAGTTAAAATGAGAGCATTTTCAACCTTCCTGCAACTTAAACTCTGGGGTATTTTTAAGTTCAGCTTTTACCTTCCTGTTGGTTTTCACAAGGAGCCCAGGAGTTGACTATTGCCAGAAAGGATATTGTTTAGGGACTGTGTAGCATACATTTCCTTTCCTACCAGTGCCCTGCTTTTCTTTGGGGAATTGCCTTTATTCTTTGTGCCGTCTGAATGGGATTTCAGAGGTATGTGGAAGGGTCCCTTGGGTGGGAGTGACGGCAGCAGGCAGCATGGCTGTGGAATGTTGACACCAAGGTTCTGTCTCTTGAGAGCAGGCTAGAGAGGAGGCTGTGTGCCAGTCCTCCCACCCGCAACCTGAAGGGCTTGTGGTTGGGTTCGTGCTAAGCCTTTGGGTAATACTCTGGTTCTGACTTCCCTTCCTTTAATCCTAACACAGTGAACTGCTAGCCAAAAGGATGGAGGTTTGAGTCTATCCAGAGGTGCCTGGGAAGAAAAACCTGGCAATCTACTTCAAAAAATTCTGCCATTGGAAAATCCTGTGCTTTACTCTGACATAGGTGGGGTCCCTGGGAGTTGAAATTATCTGGACGATGACTTGAGGGCAGGAGAAAACACAGAAAAGATACTCAGGATTGAGAGATTGATCATTGGAGTCCTAGTTGGAGTTCTAGTGTGGCGCTCTAGGATAAGCACTGGACAGCAAGGTCATTTGAATCGCAAAGTCGGAGGTTCAAACTACACCGGATGGCTATGAATCGGAACCGACTCAACAGCATTTAACAACAACAACTATCTATTATGACCTTATCCTCAAAGTAAGCCCCTGGAGAAGTTGCTTGGGAAGAGGTTGGAGCCTTTTCTCATGCTAGGTTCGTGCTGCCATCTAGTGGCAGGTAAAGGAAGATAGGAAGGGAGGTCTCGCCCAGTAGAGGGCAGACCTGAAGTCAGGAGGATGTACCAGAAGTCAGGAAGACAGGGCTGGGTGGGCAGGTCAAGGGAGAGACCTGGAGCTGCATGGTAGACACCACGGTGCCGTATGGAAAACACAAGAGTAGGAATAACGCTCAATAATAATTACAACTGTTGTTTAATGAGCACTTCCTTGGTAGCTAAAGGCATACTGGTTTTACCCTTTCAGCAGCCCTAGTGAGGATGTGGAAACTGTCAAATAACTTGCCCATACACCCTCGGAAACCCTGTACAGGGTTGCTATGGGTCGGAACTGATTCAACGGCACTTAACAACAACAACAAGTCAGTGGCAGAGGTAGGAATCAAATGCAGGATTCTCTAACTTCATTGCTTGTATATCTGGGGAAATTTTTGGAGTCACAGGGAAATCTACATATATTCTTCGCACCATCCCCGCCCCATCCCCCATGCGCCCATTCCCCAGACAACAAAGGCTGAGTTTGTTCCCTGCATTATGTAATACTATTTCCACCTCTAATGACCCTTTAGAGTCCCCGAGACTCTTCTAGGAGTAAATCCAAAGAGAACCTTTCCTCCCTCTATCTGGATGGTGTCTGGAGTTGGGGGAATCCCTGGTCCACGTCAATCAACATGAAAATATTGTGGGCTAGTGTTCAAAGTTCTTTTTCCTACTGCTTATGTGAAATGGGGAGAGAACCTAAGCCCCTAAAAAGCACAGTCTCATTTCAGATCAGCCCCTGTCAAGTTTGCTTCTGAATCAGAGATGGCTTCTTATGAGCAAGGGCCCCAGCAGGCTCCATTCCACCCCAGCCCCAACTCGCTGTCTGAAAGAACCAACCTGCTACCCCAGTGATCCCACCCAGGCCAGAAGGCCCAAGAGCCTTCAGTCACTCTCCATTCAAAGAGCCCTGGTAGCACCATGGATTAAGCATTGGGCTGCTAACCACAAAGTGGGTAGTTCAAACTCACCAATGGCTCCACAGTACATGTGGCAGTCTATTTCTGTAAAGATTTACTGTTTCCAGTCTTGGAAACACTATGGAGCAGTTTTACTGTGTCCTAAAGGAGCTCTGGTAGCGTAGTGGTTATGAATTGAGCTGCGAACTTTAAGGTCAGCAGTTCGAAACTACCAGCTGTTCCACAGGAGAAAGATGAGGCTTTCTTCTCCCATAAAGATTTACAGCCTCAGAAACCCTGTACAGGGTCTCTATGAGTCGGAACCGACTCCACGGCACATAACCACTACCACCATCAAAGGGTAAATGTGGAGTCCTGGTGTGGCATTGTAGAATAAGCACCGAACTGCTAACCATAAGGTTGGTGGTTCAAACCTACCAACTGCTCCTCAGAAACCCTATACAGGTCACTATGAGTCGGAACTAACTTTACAGCGCTTAAAAACAACATAGGGCCATTATGAGTCGGAATTGATTAAATATCAGTAGAGTAGTGGGAGGGAGGGGTTATTTAGGAAGCAGAAGCCATTCTTCCAGCCTCACCTACCCAGATGAGTAATAAATTACCTATTTTTACTTTAGCGTTTCTTTTTCTTTTCCCCTTTTAAGAAATGTATCCAGACCTATTTTCCAGGATTGAGAACTGTAGTTGCATTGAGTTTATTCTAGGGGACTTTGAAATTGTCAATGATTTCATTTTACTTCGATCCACAATCAATGCGTGTAGAAGCATCAGTAAAGAAATCAAATGATGGCAGATTGTTTTGGCAAATCTACTACATGGGATCTCTTTTACATGGATTTCCCTTCGAAGACTACCTGACCCAAGTCATGATATTTTCAATAATGAAAACTGGACGATGAATAAGGAAGACTGGAAAAGTATTGATACCTTTGAATTATGATGTTGGCAAAGAATATTGAATATGGTATTGGCAAGGAATATTGAAAGTACCACGGACTGCCAGAAGAACGAACAAATCTGTTTTGGAAGAAGTCCAGCCAGAATGCTCCTTAGAAGTGGGGATGGGGAGACTTTGGACATGTTATCAGGAAGGACCTGTCCCAGGAGAACATCGTGCTTGGTGAAGTTGGAGGGTCAGTGAAAAAGAGGAAGACCCTCAATGAGATGGATTGGCTCAAACATAGCAACAGTTGTGGGGATGGCACAGGACTGGGCAGTGTTTTGTTCGGTTGTACTTGGCATCGCTATAAGTTGGAATTGATGGCAATGGCACCTAACAGCAACAACAGGCACATTGAAGGGGTCTTGGTGGCTCAGTGGATAAGCACTTAGCTGCTAATTGAAAGGTTGGTAGTTCAAATCCACCAGGAAGGATGTGGTTGTCTGCTTCCCTAGAGATTACAGCCTTAGAAACCCTAGGGGGCAGTTCCACTCTGTCCTATTGGATCACTGTTGGAATTGAATTGACCACAGCGGGGTTTGTTTGGGGTTTTTTTGGTATGTACTTTGAAAAGACTAGTCCTCAAATATACTTTGTGATTTCCCCCACTAGAATCAGAATTTTGTCTGCAATAACTTCAACATCATTCATTCAACAAATATCTACTCACTGGTACCTTAACAGACAAAAACAAGGGAAAAAAAAGTTCATATTAACATTACAAGACTTCTTCTCTTCTGAGTACCAACCTAGGCCACTGTCTCCTCTCACACAGGCATGCCCGCCCCTGCACCACTACCACCACCCCCTGCCTTGTTCAGCCACTCTCCATACTGTCTGCCCAGGGTAATGGGTTTGCCTCCTCTTCCAGAAGCAGACACCCTCTCATCTCTGAAGTATCCGTTGCTTACCACTTCCTTTTCTTATAGACATGTATCAATTAACTAGGTCCCACTTACAGCAAAATGGTGAGATGTGCCCTCTGCTCCTGACATGGAACAAACCCAACTACAAACTGAAAAGGAGCTCCAGGGATCTTTCACTCTGGTCTGAACACACATGCTAGGGGGCTTCAAAAAATTCATGGGAAAATTCCATTATCTTTCAATTCCATCTTTCCACAGACTTTTGGAAGCCTTCTCATACATGGGGGGAGAGGAGGGAGATGTCTATAAATGTACACATGCTGGTGCTGAAAAAAATATATTTGGGGAACGAATGAATGAAGACTAGATGAACAAATGATAAATGAGTAGGTGACTCATTGGATGATGAATCAATAGGTGATTTAATGAATGAATCAGAGAATGAACATCCAACTCTTGAGGCAAACCTGAATTATTATGTTTCCAACAATGACAGAAAGTTCTCTATGCGTATTTTTGCTTAAGAAATCAACATGATTTAGCAGCTCACTGATAATTTTGCAAATCACTTAAAACTAGAGTTTCTAGGAGAGTTTGGGAACCAGGAATAAGAGGAGTGGCTTCTATTTCCGTTTGGCAAGAAGCTCCCCACCCCTGCGGCCAGAGCCTTTAGCAGTCAGTTAGTTGGCTGATTGGGAAAGAGCAACCACAAACTACTTGGTTAAGGTTTCTCACCTAACCAAATAGATGCACCACTCTTATCACTAACTGGAAAGCTATGTGTGAATCAAATTACTTTGTCAAATCACATACGTACTATATTCTCTTGAAGAGAGGACTGAAGGAATCTGTTGGGAATTACAAGCAATTGCACTCAAACGTATCTGTTTTGTAAATATAGGGACAGGATCACAAAGGAACAGATGGTTTTTTACATGCCCTTCAAGGCTCCCTGGTTCTCTGACATGAACTGGCTGAAGCTTTTGACTTTTGGGTTTAGTCGGTGTGTGAGCTTGACGTCGCGGTCCGGTTTCATTTGATAGAAACGACACATGTTGGCGATTTCCTCCGCTGCAGGGAATCCCAGCTTCTCATAAGCTTCTGGGGTGATCTTTTTAAAGAACAAGACAAAATGCAGGAAATGTTATATAGCTCACTTTTAAAATCATTTGATTAGAAACCATTCACCTTAATGATGATACAGGCATGAAATTCTTTAGCCTAATTCCAAATTGGCTGATTTGGTGGCAAATTCTGACCTGAACTGGTACAAGTCTATTAATTTATAGTCCTTACCACAAGTTTCACAGCTGAAACCCACCAGCCGCTCCAGAGGACAAAGAGGAGGTTTTCTGTTCCCATAAAGATTTACCGCCTTGGGAACCCTATGCAGCATCACTATGAGTTGGAATCGACTCAGTGGCAGTGAGCTTAGGGGTTTTTTTGTTCGTCCCATTTAGTGGAAATACCAACATATTATGCTGTAAGTAATCTCCATGTGTTTCACTACTGGTTCCTGCTCTAGCCCCTAGAGGTCAGAATCCATCTAAAAGCAGAATGATTTTGAAATCCAAACTACCTCTAGTCCCAAGAGTTCCAAGGTCCTGTAGATCTATACTATCCTTCATCTGTAAAACACTTCATTGAGATTTCATATACACTTATTAATGGGATTCTCCCCGCAGCCCCCTGAATTTTTCCATCTACTAGGCTCTTGATCTACAATCCCCCGACTCAGGCACTGCATCTGTCCTTCCCACCTGGTTCATACCCTTTCCAGCCTCACATCCCTCCTTGGTTAGAAATGAACATTTTGCCTTCATCCTTTCCAGACTCTGCCAGGATCAAGCCCAGACAGAAATGCAGCTCATCACACACCTATTGGGACCCCATCTGTCATCCTCCACAAATGCTCCCTCCTTGAGGCAATCCCTTCTGACACTAACTAGATCAATATTTAGTTTCCTCTTGAGAATTAGCAAAGATCATATATTACTATCTAATTCACTGTAATCTGTACTTATGTCCCAGAGATAAACTCTGATCTAGTGGTTCTACTTGACCTTAGAAAAACCACATAGATATAAATAACTTATATGAAACAATGATCATCTCAGTAGCATTTATAATCATGAGAATCAAGAACAATTTACATGTCCAACAATAGAAGAATAATTTAAAATTGTGGCATATCCATTACAAGAATATTATGTAGCTATAAAAATGAACACTTTTGAAGCCATTGAACAAAATAGAAAAATGCTTACAGTAAGTGGAAAGACAGATAAAAATGGTACCTATAGTAGGTTGAACTGCAGGTCAGTATTTCAAACTCACCAGCTATTCCTTGGAAACAAGGTCACTATGAGTCGGAATCTACTTGATGGCACTTAACAACAACAACAGCATACATGCATACATATATGTATATATACACACACATACATACACACACACATAAATGTGTGGCTGTTGAGTTGATTCGACTCATAGAGACCCTGTATAGGGTTTCCAAAGCTGTACATTTTTATGGGAGCAGAAAGCCTCATCTTTCTCCTGTGGAGCAGCTGGTGGGTTTGAACTGCTGGCCTTGCTGTTAGCAGTCCTGCGCTTACCCTACAGTGCCACACCAGTACTCCTGTATATGTAATTTGTTAAGTGAGACCAAGCCAGTTCTAACTTATAACGACCCTGTATAAGGTTTCCGAAAGGAGATCTGGTAGTGTAGTGATGACGAATCGGGCTACTAACCTCAATGTCGGCAGTTCGAAACTACCAGCGGTTCTGCGGGAGAAAGATGAAGCGTTCTGCTCCCGTAAAAATTCAAAGGCTCGGAAACCCTGTGCAGGCTCACTATGGCACGGAATCGACTCCACGGTACTTAACAACAACATAAGGTTTCTGAAAAGTAGATGGTGGCTTTGAACCACCAACTTTGCGTTTCGCAGTCTAGAGCTGATCCTACAGCGCCACACCAGGAATCCTTTCCTGTGTTTATATCCTTGTGCTTCATTACAGGTTCCTGTTCTAGCCCCCTGTGTCTGTGTAGGGATTTACATATTCTGGAAAAAGACTAGAAAAGAATATACCAAATCTTAACAGTTTCTGTCTCTAAGAGATTAAACTACTTGTGATTTTTTAAAAGATAATTTTCTATATTTTCTTACAATAAACATTTTTAACTTTTTAAACCAGAAAAATAAAAATTTTAAGTGTGTTTGAAAACAGAAGAGTCCATATGAAAACACAGACGACTTCTGAACTGTCTCCTTGAGTCACCCTTTCATCCTATAATTTTGACAAAATGATTAATATCTCTTCTTCTTGTTGCTAAGTGCCATGGAGTCAGTTCCAAACCATAGTGACCCTGTATAGGGTTTCCTAGGAGAGGCTGGTGAGCTTGAGCTGCCGACCTTCAGGTTTAAACAGACTTTGCAGGCCTGCGCATTAACCACACAAGAACTCCTGGTATCCCTTAGTCAAATAAATTATTCTTTATGGCAGATTTCTGAAGGAAAGAATTTAGTCCTGTTGCCTCCCTTTTTGAGACAGCCATGCACCTTTGGAGGTTAGAGCCACGGTCTTATCAGTCAAACCAGAGTTCCTGATGGAAGAGCCTCCCAGCCTGAGTCTAGGTGGAAATAGTCCAACTGTGGAGGCTAGAGCGCCACCTTGTGGCCATATTCATCCTTTCCCGGCCCCCCCCCCCAAAAAAAAAACAAAAAAACAAAAAACAAAAAAAACCCACACACACAAACCAGTTACCATGGGGTAGATTCCAACTCTTGCAGACCCCTTGTGTGTCAAAGTAGAATCATAGGGTTTATCAAAAGTAGATCACCAAGACTTTCTTCTAAGGAACCTCTGTGTGGACTTGAACCTCCAACTTTTTTGTTAGCTGCTGGCCATTTGCACTACCCACAGATTCCTGCCAAGAATTTCCTCACTCTAGACTCGTGGATGGTGTCCTCAAGCTAGACTCTCTATAAAAACAGCATTAATCCATTTTTAGAACCTCCAACCTCTAATGCTCTAGAACTTTTGTTGTCAGAGAAGTTTCCCATGCACTATGAAACAACTTTATGTACAAGAATAGTCAGGAATCCAATATGTGACTGAGAGATGCTTGCAAGGTTCTGAGCTGTCCCAAACCATGCTTACGTCTCCTTCTGGGAAAGAATGCACACGTTCACATGCCCCCGTTTTTCTCTTCTTCCTTACAAAGGTCAACTCCCACAAGAAAAAATTAATATAACACCCAAAATGCAAATGCCCTGGGGAAAAGGGAGTCACTGAGAAATAAATTTGCACCTGAGAACGAGTGAGCCTACAGATCATCTCATGGGCCCAGCATTGATTGGGTGGCTGCCTTCTTGGGCTGAGATCTAACTTAGATTTCCATGAAATCTCCTATGGTTTCAATGAGACCCCACATGTGGTTTGGTAACTGGGTTGGCACCTGCAGTGGTTTTCAGCATAACCCCAGCACATAAGGCTGAATTAGGATTCTAGAAGCCTCCTTAAGACTCACCAGACCAAGACTTACGGGTGAAAATAAGAACCAGCCTTCTATCCCTAACTCTAGGAAACTCTAGAGTTGTTGTTGTTGTTGTTGAGTGTCGTCCAGTCAGTTATGACTTATGACCCTGTATTTTAGGGTTTCCAAGGAGTGGCTAATGTGTTTGAACTGCCACCTTGTGGTTCAAATCAACCTTATGATTCAGTGCTCATCCTACAGGGCCACACACTCTAGACTTGTTGTTATGTGCCGTGGAATCAATTCCGACTCATAGCGACCCTGCACAGGGTTTCCGCGGCTATAAATCTTTACGGGAGCAGAAAGCCTCATCTTTCTCCCGTGGAACAGCTGGTAGTTTTGAACTGCTGACCCTGAGGTTAGCAGCCCAATTCCTAATCACTGGGCTAGCAAATTTTTTCTTAAAGGCCTAGACATAAATATTTAAGGCTTTGGGAGACATGTAGTCTCACAACTACTCATCTCTGCCCTCATAAGGAGAAAGTAACCATACGTGTGTCCTAAATGCAAAGGAATTGGCATGACTTTTTAAATTTATTTTCAAAAACAGGCAGTGAGTCATCATAGTTTGCGGACCCCTCTGGTTCACTCATGTTTATTCTATACCGAATCTTACCCTTTCTCAAGGATTTCCTCAAGCCCAATTCTTCAGTGAAGCCTTCTCTGAACGTTCTTGGCTTACTTCTAGTCCAGACCGTCTGGATGCCACAATTAAGAGTGTCTTGTACTCATCACTGGGACTTCATGTGTATTAACATTTCCACCCCAAGTCTTCTGTAAACCCCTTAAAGATAGCACCAAGTACTCAATTCAGACCTACTATGGGTCTGGTGTGGTGCTGTGGGCTAATGCATCAGACTATAAAGTCATTTGAACTGTAAGGTCGATGGTTCAAGCACACCAGCTTCTCCTTGGAAACTCTATACAGGGTTGTTATGGGTCGTAATTGACTCAATGGCATTTAACAACAACAACAATAGGCCAATAACTGTACTAGGTCCTTTACATCTATTCTAAGTATAACAAGAACACCCCAAGGGAAACTAGCCCCAAATATGGAAGCTGAGGTTCGGATAGGCTAAGCATCTTGCCTCGCATCTGCTATCTCTGGCAGACTGGCTCAGCAGAGACATATCTAAGCTGCGGCAGGTGTGGCACATGCCTTGGGTGCCACTTGAAGGGGGGGGCATTGCAGTTTCCACTGCCAGCTGTGAGAGACTGAGCGAAGTTAAAATGAATACTTCCATATTTGAGAGCATCCAGGGACCCCTGGTGTGACGTTGTAGGATCAGCAGTGGGCTGCGAACCACAAGGTGAGCAGTTCAAACCCACCAACCGCTCCTTGGAAATCCTATACCGGGTCACTGTGAGTCAGAACCAACTCCACAGCACTTAACAACAATATGGGTCAAGGCAGACTGTATGTTCCCACTCTGCTGAGTATACAAAAAGAAGAAACATGAAAACAGTGACTTTGAGCACACCATAGACAAATTTTCCTCAGTGAAAGCAAGGAAGGTGTGGTTGTAATTTTCATGTTGTATCATCATGTGTTAAGTAAAAGATTAATGAGCTTGCCTTGTATTTTTTAGTTGGTATTATGGGTGTCAGATGTTTGGACAAGGGCATCATATCAATGGTTGCCACAGATACTATTTTCCATAGCTACACCTCTGATGATCAACAGTGACTGCTTTGTGAAAGGAATTGATCTGCTGTTGGTATGTGCTTTCAAATCAATTCCAACACTTAGTACCCTGTTGGATGGACTAGAACTGACCCACAGGGATTCCAAAGCCAAGATCTTTATGGAAGCAGATGTCACTTCTTTCTACCTTAGAGCAGCTGGTGGGTTCAAACCACCAACCTTTTGGTTGGCAGTTGCCTGCTTTAGCACTGCACCACCAGGGTTCCGCATAGTGGTACTGAATATCTGAAAAAAAATACCAGTCTTCAGATTCTAAATTCCTTCTACCCAGAAGTAATTTTTCTTAAAAAGCTGATAAACCTTAAGCTAAAGAGATAAAGTAATAAAGGCAAGATTGAAATGGGACCAACAGATTAAGATTGCTTTATGGAAATGGAATCCTCGTCAATTTCTTCTGACAGCCTAAATTCAACCTTAGCCAAATCCATCAAAGATTTGCCAGAATTTATGTTAGGGGGCTGTTAACCGAAGAGCCTCTATTACCACATTCAAGTTTCCTAAGAACTTACCTTTGCATCTTGAACTTCTTTCCCCAAGATCTTGGACAAAACATCTGCATATTGCTGTATGGTTAGAGCTTCTGCACTGAGTCCCACAGCCTTGCCTAAAAACTCCTCTGGGGAATTAAAAATGCTCAAGACGACTGTTCCAATATCAGCTACAGAGATGCCATCCATTGGTACATCCCCCATGGGCAGTGCTATTTGAAAAATGAGGAAAAGAGCTCATTACATCACATCCTTGGCCGGTCCCACCAACCCAAACTAATCAACTGCTAAAGCAAAAGGTGTGGGCAGGTGTGTATCACTGGTATGCATTTATTTAGCCATTTGTTGAGCTATGACTGAAGTTTAGAGGTATTACTTGCTATAATCGCTGGTGTATGGTACATGCTCTAGCTCAGGTCTACGTTGCCACCAGATGTGCCCTTGATAAATCTTAATTATGTGTCAAGGAAGAAATGTAGACATTGACACTGGTACCCCCTTCAGTACACAGAAGCTGCCTGTGACTATGGCCAAAGAAATGTTCTCAAAGTGGACTGGCAGCGTTGGAAGTACCCAGGAGTCTTTGTTACAACAACTGGCTTCCAAGCCCCAACTCAGACCTAGGAAACCTGACTCTCTGCAGAAGGGTCTGGCATGGCCCTATGTCATGAGGAGGATGGCTTCCCTTCATTGCCAGGAAAGATGAACTATGTCAAATGATCTAGAAAGGACCTTAGAAATCTCCTCATCCAACTTTCCTATATAGATAAGGAAATTGAGACCTCAGTTTACATAGCTAACTACTTAATATAGTGAGGTTAGACTAACATAATAGAGTATGTTAGACTAGAAGTACAATCTTTTGTATTTAAGTCCAAGATCCAGTTCTCTGCCCAAGTGAAGTCTAGGACAACATGGTATCCCTTTAGGCTTCACACGGAGTAGGCACTCAAATAATGTCCACTTAAGGAAAAGAGGGAGGGAGGAAAGAGTGGAGAGAGAAGGATGGGAGGGTAGTGGCTGTCAGGTTAACTTTTACAACCACCCTTCATTTACCCAAGGTGTAGTAATCTCCATCCGTGGCTTTCACTGGCTTCCACATCGATAAAAAGTTTTCGAAGTAAGCTGCCATGCGGACACTGGTCATGGGAATGCCGATGGACCAGAAATAATCCTCCACCTCTCCTTTGCCATCGAAGTGCGGCACCTCGAGTTTGCCTCCACTCAGCTGCTTGACGTTCTCCAAGCCACTGTACACCACGTGTTGCACACCCAGGCGTTTAGCAGCATCCGCCACCATTTTTCCCTAAAGGCCAAAATTAAACTCATTATGTAGGCCACTATATTTGCATATATACTAAAGGATCCCCCTCAACCCCTCTTTTTCTCATTGTCCAAGTCCCTGGTGGAGAGAGGGCTCTTCCAACATCAAAATATATTCAAGTTACATTATATGTGGCCACCAGTTTCCAACACAAAGCCTCTACCTCAAACATACCCAAACCTATGAAGGGTATCCTTGCTACCATCCCCATATGCTATTTACAAACAAATAGTGAGAACCAAAGGACTAAGTCCATTAAACCTTCACTTTAGGGTATCCAAGGTCTTGAGCTGTAGACAGTTGTTACATGTTTTTACTTGCTGTTACTTGCTTATTCGCTATTGTCCTCCTCTCTGTCCATCTGCATATAATTTTCATTTCATAATCAAAACATGTTCATTTCATAATGAAAGACATCTCTAACAAGTATCTAAAGTACATATACCCCAAACTTCAGAGAGCTGTTGTGGAATGAAACTTACATTTTTACCCAGAGTGAATGAAGGTCAACCCCCTTCCAGAAAGGACAGATGTAGATAGGTAAAAGGAAAGTGTTCAAAGACAAATAGTTTGGTTCTCACCTGACACACTTCCTTCTCTTTGCTGAGGTGGTCCCAGAAGTTGGTCACCACAAAGGCTCCATAGGCACCTTTTAAAACAGCCTCCACTGATGCTTTATCATTCAGGTCACCCTTTACCACCTCTGCGCCAAGGTCCTGGAGTTCAAGGGCCTTTGGTCGAGTCACGTCCCTGGTCACTGCTCTCACAGCAAACTTTTTGCTCTTCAAAATGGCCCTGGCCACAGAGCCACCCTGAGCTCCTGCAGGGTAAGGGAAGACAAAAGGATGTTCACTAAGAAAAGTTGGTCAGGAAACTCTGTTATTCACAGCGGAAGTGCCAATGCACTCACTCCAGGAGGTATCGCTATGGCTTACAAGAGTGGTTTTCTAACTAGGTTTCTGGAAGTAATAGAATGTCTCTTCAGAGGTACCGTTACAGAAGCTATGGAGAAATGCAGATTGGAGAGAGACTTGTGGCCACAAGGAGGCCAAGTAAGCCAGGTTCCAGCTCCTCCACACCAGATTCCACTTTATCTGGTTCTCTGCTTTATATCAATGTTCTTTGTAAAATTCTATTTTCAAAAAAGTTCCCAGTCTGTATTTTCAAAAGTTTGAAAACAAACAGAAGAAAATCTAAACTGTGTTATTGTATTCAAAGTCATACATAATACTTGTTATGACCATTACTTGTCTAAATTATCCATTCTACAAACATTTCCTGACTGCCAGGTGCTCTGTTGAAGTAACTAATACTACAAGTCCTCTGTCAAATGGACTGGATGTCTGTTCTGGATATTCATTTGCACTTCCAGATCCATCTTCATCTTCTCCATCTTGTTTAGTGCCTTGGGAGGCTGACCTTTGTGGACTCCATCAATGAGCTCTCATGAGAGTCTGGTCAATGGGTGGCATCAACAGTAGGTCCAAATGCGAGAGGAAAGCTATCCTTCACATAGCTACCACTTCTCCAGGTTCTGGTTATCACTCTTACCCTTTGGTCCTCCCACTGTTACTTGCTTATTCCTTATTGTCCTCCTCTCTGCCCATCTGTATATAATTTTTCTCAGTGAACTGCAAGGTCAGCAGTTTGAAACTGCTCCACAAGAGAAAGATGAGGCTTTCTGCTCCTGTAAAGATTTATAGCCTCAGAAATCCTGTTCAGGGTTGCTATGGGTTGGAACCGACTTGACAGCACTTAACAATAACAACAACTCTGAGGAAATTGTGGTGCATGCTTCTTGGGACTCACACCGATACAGCATGATAAGGTCCACCAGCCAATGAGTTGTGCCCTTGAACATAGAGTTTCAATCAAATTTCACTGCTATGGCAATAAGTATGAATAGACCAAGTTTACCAGATATTTGAGGAAAGCCTCTAAGACAAAAATAAAAACTAAAAGAAATAAGGAAACATTGTGAGGAAGTGTAGAAAAAGAAAGTTTAAAATAATATCTTCATAGATTACAGAAGATGTTAGATTCAGAACACTTGTTAGGTGCCATCAAGTCGATACCAACTCAGAGCGACCTCATGCACAGCAGGACAAAACACTGCCCAATCCTGGGCCAACCTCACTATTGTTGCCACACTTGAGTCTATTGATGCTGTCACTTGGCCAATCCATCTCATTGGGAGTCTTCCCTCTTTTTCTCTGACCCTCCACCTTACCAAACATGATATCGTTCTCCAGTAACTGGCCCTTCCTGACAATGTGTCCAAAGTTTGAGAGACGAAGTCTGGCCGTCCTGGCCTCCAAGGAGCACTCTGGCTGCACTTCTTCCAACACAGATCTATTGGTTCTTTTGGCAGCTCATGACACTTTGAATATTCTCCTCCAAATCATAACTCTTCCTTATTCACTGTCCAGCTTTCGCATGCATATGAGCTTGTTGAAAATACCATGGCTTGGGTTAGGCGCACCTTAGTCCTCAAGCTGATATCTTTGCTCTTCAACATTTTAAAAAGGTCTTGTGCAGCAGATTTGCCTAATGCAATATATTGTTTGATTTCTTGACTGCTGCTTCCATGAGTGTTGATAGTTGATTCAAGAAAAATAAAGTCCTTGACAACTTCAATCTTTTTTCTCCATTCATAAGAATGTTATTTATTGGTCCAGTGGTGAGGACTTTTGTTTTCTTTACATTGAGATGCAATCCATACCGAAGGCTGTGCTCTTTGATCTTCAACAGTAAACATTTTAAGTCTTCTTCACTTTCAGCAAGCAAGGTTGTATCATCTGCATATTGCAGGTTGTTAATGAGTCTTCCTCCAATCCTGGTGCCACGCTTTTCTTCATAGAACCCAGCTTCTTGGATTATTTGCTCATCATACAGGTTGAATAAGTATGGTGAAAGAACCCTGTCGCACACCTGTCTTAATTTTAAAACATTCAGTGTTTCCATGTTCTGTTCAAACAACTGCCTCTTGGTCCGTGTACAGATTCCTCATGAGCACAATTAAGTGTTCAGAAATACTCATACTTTGCAATGTTGTCCATACTTTATCATGATCCACACAATTGAAAGCCTTTGTGTAGTCAATTAAGCACAGGTAAACGTCTTTCTGATATTCTCTGCTTTCAGCCAAGATCCATCAGACATTAGCAATGATATCCCTCGTTCTACAGCCTCTTCTGAATCTGACTTGAACCTCTGGAAGTTCCCTGTCAATGTATGCTTGCAGTCGTTTCTGTATTACCTTTAATAAAACTTTATTCACATGGGATAGCAGAGAGATTGTCTGATGATTTCCACATTTGATTGGGTCACCTCTCTTTAGAATGGGCACAAATACGGATCTCTTCCAATCAGTTTGCCAGATAGTTGTCCAAATTTCTTGGCATAGATGAGTGAGTGCCTCCAGTGCTGCCTCACTTTCTTAAAAGATTTCAATTTTTATTCCATCAATTCCTGGTGCCTTGTTCTTTGCCAATTCCTTCAATGCACCTTGGACTTCTTCCTTCAGTATCATTGGCTCTTGATCATATGTTACCTCTTGAAACGGTTAAACATCACCCATTTCTTTTTGGTACAGTGACTCTGTGTATTCCTTCCATCTTCTTTTGATGCTTTCTGCATCATTCAGTAATTTTCTTAGAACACTACAGCTGCATAATGTACCAAGAAAGGGGGGATGGAGCAGAAGCAAAAGATAGAATTCAGAAAACAAGAAGCAGCTCTCAAAAATTAAAGGTTTTGTAGCAAAAATGAAAATTTCAGTATAAAATGTTGAAGAAATCTCCCAGAAATTATAAGAAAGAAAATAAAAATAAATGCAAAATAGGAATGCAAAAATTAGTGGATCCAACCAGTGAAATTCCAGAACAAGAAAATAGAGATAGAAAAATTATCACAGAAGATACTTTCTTTGAGCCCCAGGATATTGATTCAGCTTCCAAATCAAAACTGTCTACTGAATTCCCAGGAAAATGAATAAAGTACCACATAATGCTCATCATGGAGTCCTGGTGTGGTGCTGTAGGATAAGCACTGGACTACTGACAGCAAGGCTGGTGATTCAAACCTACTAGCCACTCCTCTGAAACCCTATACAGGGTCGCCATGAGTCAGAACTCACACAACCGCACTTACCACATCACTGTGAAATTTCAGAACATTGGAAAAAGAAAACCTTAAAAAGTTTCAGACCCTACCCAGAGAAGCAATGGGGCCTGAGATGGAGGCAGAGAAGATGA